ATCAGAGTGTGTTACAGTGAGGGGTGTGGGGTGTATCGGTGTGTTACGGTGAGGGGTGTGGGGTATATCAGAGTGTGTTACAGTCAGGGGTGTGGGGTGCATCGGTGTGTTACGGTGAGGGATGTGGGGTGTATCGGTGTGTTACGGTGAGGGGTGTGGGGTGTATCGGTGTACTACAGCGAGGGGTGTATCGGTGTGTTACAGTGAGGGGTGCAGGGTGTATCAGTGTGTTACACTGAGGGATGTGGGGTGTATCGGTGTGTTACAGTGAGGGGTGTATCGGTGAGTTACAGTGAGGGGTGCGGGGTGTATCAGTGTGTTACAGTGAGGGGTGCGGGATGTATCGGTGTGTTACAGTGAGCGGTGTATCGCTGTGTTACAGTGAGGGGTGTGGGGTGTATCGGTGTGTTACAGTGAGGGGTGTGGGGTGTATTGGTGTGTTACAGTGAGGGGTGTATCAGTGTGCTACAGTGAGGGGTGCGGGGTGTATCGGTGTGTTACAGTGAGGGGTGTGTGATCTGACGCTGCTCCTTTCTCTGACGTTGCGCACTCTCAGTGAGGCGGAGATATGGAAACTGTGGGTCCAACTCCGACGCAATGAGCCCAACTTACTTGGTCACCTGGAAGATTTCCTCTCCAAGGTCACTGTTCGGATCCAGGATGCTCAGAGTGAGAAGGACGACTTGGAACGCACTCTGAAAAAGTGAGTAATTTAGTGTTCATTTGCTATATTCCCTCCTGTATCAACTGCGGAGCAGATTCTTTGCAGAATATTTGTATAAATTCAGACTTGCACATGCGTCAAAAACTTACTGAATTCAATCTGTCTCTACAAAGTTCAAGCTCAAAGTCTAAGAGGGCTGGAGAGGAGAATAAATTGACATTTTTAGTCTACAGTATTTTACTCACATCCACGTGACGTAGTAACTCATAATTTCTAAGCAGTGAAAATTGCAGAGGCAGCGGGTGCTTTGTCTGTGATCGTCCAGAATTCCTTACATTCTAAGAGCCATTTGCAAGAGTTGAAAAGATGGGAAACAGAACTGTCCTATTTATGGAAAACAAGAATAGAGAACATTGGTATCTCAGAGCCAGATGGTTTCACATCAACCAGCAAACTGCTGGCATTCACGATGTGACAACAACGTACTTCAAAAATCACATCATTGAGCAGAATTGACAGTAATCAACGCAAGGAAAACCAGGCTTTACAAATTTGTTAGAGCTTTTTGTTGAAGATATAATGTGAAGGTTTGATAATGGGGAGCCGGTAGAGGTGGTGTAATGTGTGTTTACAAAAATTAGCTGATAAAGGGCCACTCAGTAAGTTATTACACAGAATGAGCTCCCTGGAATCGAGGTAATGTATTAACATAGAGTGAAGTTAGGCTACTGGACAGAAAACAGAGTAGGAATGAATGGGACATTTTTGGGCTGATGCATTGTATTTATCAGAGTGCCATAAGGATCAGAATTTGGCCTCAACTATTTATAATCTGTGTTAATCAGTTGGATGAAGGGACTGAGTGAAAATACCCAAATTTGTTGACTCAGTACTCAATGAATGGCTGGACACTAGAAAGCTCAGAGGAAGAGAGCGATCTTGGGGGTGGTTATCCGCAAACCCTTGAAGGTGGCAGGACAGGTTAATGGGGTAGTTAGGGAGTCATTTGGGACACTGCCTTTATCAGTTGAGGTGTAGATTATAAGGGAAGGGTGATTATGTTGGAGCTGTACAGAATTATTGTCAGGCCACAGCTGGAGCATTGTGTGCAGTTCTGGTCACTTTGTTATAGGAAGGATGTGATTACAGTGCAAGGGGGTGCAGAGGAGATTCACCAGGATGCTCTCTGGGATGGAGCATTTCAGTGATGAAGAGAGGCTGGATAAGCTCAGGTTGTTTATTCTGGAGCAGAGAAGGTGTGTAAGGGACAAGGGGGTTGATAAAAAGCTGCTGTTTCCCTTATTTGAAGGGTAAATAAGGGGGCGTAATTTTAAAGTGAAAGGCGAGAGGTTCAGAGGGGATTTGAAGAAAAATATTTTCACCCAGAAGGTGGTAGAGGTCTGAAGTGGAGACTTGGGACAGTAGTTGAGGCTGAGAAACCTCCTAATCTTTAAAAAAAACTTGGATGAACACTTGAAGTGTCATAACATTCAAGGCGATGAGCCGAGTGTGGAACAGTAGGGCTAGTGGAGGGAGTAGTATATACTTGATAGGCCAAAGGGCCTGTTCTGTACTGTATGATGTAAAGAAGTTGCTAAGATTTATACCACATCAGTGGTTGGGCCAGAGCACGGCAGTGACTCGGTGGGAGTAGAAACAGCTCCAATATCATTTGCAGCCCTAATGAGACAATGTCAAATCTTTTGGTTTCATTGGTCCTTGAGGGAAGCTTCATGAAAAGGCGTTGGAAACATCTACTTTGCCTGATAGAAGGTGATGCACTTTATATTGATGGGTATGACTTCAGTGATCACACGGATGGGTCCAGAGTGTATGGGTGGAATGCGATAGCACTCCCTCAAGTTCTGGCATTGAACTGGTAAAGGGGGAGTGTAAAATTGTGAGCCACGCTGACAGCACTATACAGACTTACTATATTCCTGTCTTGTATTTTACCATGAGGTGGGAGGCTCCAAGCAAGGCCTCTAATTGACCAATCAATGGTCATTCGAGGGCCTCTGCCCTCTGCTGTTGGTATTTTGGCAGTGGTGGGTGGTCTTCACTCAACGTGGTAAAGTTGGCATGTAATGCATGGCTGCCTTTTTACAGACTGGGGGCCTGATGAAGGATCTCCCACCAACAGTACCCCTCATTCCTGTGTGCTCCAGCTGCCCTACTGAGCCAGACTCCATCTCTTACACTGGGGCTCACCAGTACAGACATCCCAGACTTACCTCAATTAGCTAATTACATAAGAAGTTAGGAATTAGGAGCAGGGGTAGGTACTTCAGCCGATAGAGCCTGCTCCGCCATTTAACATAATAATGGCTGATCTTATCCTTCTCTCAACTCCACACTCCTGCCTCCTCCCATATCTCTTTATCTCGCTGTTCGTCATAGAATCCCAACAGTGTGGGAGCTGGCCATTTGGCCTATTGAGTCCACACTGACCCTCCAAAAAGCATCCCACTCAAACCCACCCCCACATTTCCCATACACCCTGGACAATGTAGCACAGCCAATCCACCCAAACCTGCACATGTTTGGACTGTGGGAGGAAACCCATGCAGACGTGGGGAGAGCGTGCAAACTCCACACAGACAGTCACCTGAGGGCAGAATCGAACACAGGTCCCCGGCCCTGTGAGGCAGCAGTGCTAACCACTGAGTCACCATGCCACATGATAGAAACACACCTATCTCCTTTTTGAATCTGTTGAATGATTCTGCCTGCACTGCATTCTGGGGCAGTGAGTTCCACAGATTCACACCCCTCTAAGAGAAGTAGTTTTTCCTCATCTCAGTTTTGAACCAACCTCCTCTTACTCTATATCTATGACCTCCTGTTCGAAACTGTCCCTCAGGGGGAATCATCTGTTTAACTTGCACCTTATCAATCCCATTAGCATTTTATATACCTTAATCAGAAACCGCCCCCCCACCCCATTATTCTGAACCCCAGTGAGTACAAGCCCAAGCTATTCAACTGCTTCTCATTCGACAACCTTTTCTTCCCTGGAATCAATCTGGTGAACCTCCTCTGAACTGCCTCCAGTGCCACCACATTCTTCCTCATGGATATCAACACTGAATTCCAAATGTAGTCTCACCAACACCTTACATAATTGTAGCAACATGTCTTTACTTTTATAATCCAATCCTTTTCAATAAATTCCAGAATTTCATTTGCCTTTCTCGTTATATTAAAAGCTCGAAAGACCTTAAGCGACTGTGGGATGGTGAATGAAAGGGGGCTCACTCCCAGCTATATTACTGGGAGATTGATGAGATTATGGGTTCAGGAAGGTATCTGATCCACCATCCTGTAACTATCAGGTGCTTGGACCTGGGATGCCCTGCTCAGAACTGACCATCTCTACTTCTGCCACAGGAAGATGGTGGAGCATAATACCGAGGTTCAGAAACTCTACGAGGAAATGGAGCTCCAAATCAACAACGAGAAAGATCGGATCGAGACTGAAGTGAGTAATTCAATTGTCAGGCCGAGCCCTCAATGAAGCTGGTGAGGGTCTCAGTTTTATTACTGAGATGCTCCTCATTGGGTTTAAATAGCACAGCATTGGTGTAGTTAGTTAGGGGTGTGCGTGTTTGAGATTGATACAGAGTGGCACAGGGAGAGAATACCCTTTCAATTAAGTAAGAGTAAAACTACAACCCGGTATACCTCAGATAACAACTCTTCCTTGTTCTTTCACAGGATGTGGTTGTCGCTGGCTAGGCCAGCATTTAATGCCCATCCCTAATCTCCCAGAGGGCAGTTAAGAGTCAACCACACATTGCTGTGGGGTCTGGTGTCACATGTACACCAGGCCAGGTAAGGATGGCAGATTTTCTCCCTAAAAAAGCATTGCCTTGTTCTGAAATATAATCAGCCTTTGAGCTGACACTTTGACCGCTAGGCTAACACTGTTTGAATTGCCTAAAACTTGTTTAAACAATAAACCCCAACCTCATGTAACCAGAAACGAGCTATTAAATACTGAAAATCACTTTGTGTGCTTCTATCCCTGGAAGGTGCAATGAATTAACTTTTTAACTTTCTGTTGTTCTGATTTTGGTGAAGTGTAAAGATCAGTGTGTGAAAAGGTCAACCTGTAAAAGGGACACCCAGCATTGCTGTTCCAACAACTGTGTTACTTACTCCAGCCTTGTTTGTACGTTGGTGAGGCATTCAGAAACACAGGAATTAAATTTGATTCAGGCTCATAAGTAAAGAGCAAAGCTGTGGGGCAGACCACATCAATTGTGCAGAACCTTGGCAATCATTAAGTTTGTCTTAACATAACTGCCACCATCATTTACCAGCAGTCCTTGGGTTGCAAATGGGTTGAGTTTGCAAGTCGATTTGTATGCAAATCAGACCACAGCACAGGATGATGTAAAACGGCTGTTTGTAAGTACAAGAAATGTTTGTATTGATGGGTCTTTAAAATGACACCCCTGTACGAGATCACTTTTGTAAGTTGGAGCATTCTTCAGTCAGATGTTCGTAAATCAGGGACCCCCTGTATATAAGTTATTTGGGAGGAAGTAATTGTTACTGTGTTATAGATAAATGTATTTTTAATGTAATGATATGATAAAACTGAGGCACATGGATATTTCAACCTGTAAGGGGCAACTTTTGCAGCCAATAGTGACTGTGGGGGAGCAGACCATTCTTAAACACGCACTGAGGTTCTTTTTGTGATACACTTTCAAATGTAGTTATCAAGCTTTTGTAAAGCTTTTGTTCTGACTGTTAGAGGTGAAGTAAGCTATTGAAGTTTATAAAATAATCATCAATTTATATGGGTTTATGCTTTGAAACAAAATGTGATCAAAGCCTGATTTCCAAAATTTGGTCAAATTATGAAACTGCAAAAGTGGGATAAGAGATCCCCCTGGCTGGATTTTGATTCAAGCATGATGCCCACTACACAATCCGAGGATACACAGACAGCATGCACTGCCCAGGATGACTGTTCTGTTCTCTGTGCTTTTAGAATACTGTGAAGCTCCATGCTCAGAGCCAGGACTTGCAGAAGGAGTTAGACAGCAAACAGGAGGAAGTACAACATCTGGTGCAAGCTCAGGCACAGGTAAGCCAGAGCTGCTCCCCAGGTGTTAATGTTAAATAGCCCCCTCCACTTGCACCCTGGATTCCCCTCCCTTGTGATGGAAAATTGATAAGCTGGGAACTGGAATCTGAAGTGAAGATCAAAGGTCTGGGTGAAAGTCTCATGAGCAGCTAAAAGGGAAACAGCAGCTTTGTTGGCTAGGAAGAAAAATACATAATAGGCCTTTTGGCCCCTCTGGTCTGCTTCTCCATTCATTAAGATCATGGCTAGTTGTTGCAGTCCACATGTTGTAGGATGACCCACAATACCCTTAGGGATGGAATTCCAGGATTTTGGCCCAGCAACAGTGAAGGAACGGTGATATATTTCCAAGTCAGGGATATGAGTGGCTTGGAGGGGAACTTACAGGGGGTGGTGTTCCCATATGTATCTGTTGCCCTTGTCCTTCTAGATGGAAGTGGTCATGGGTTTGGAAGGTGCTGTCTGATAATCTTTGGTGAATTTCTGCAGTGCATGTTGTAGCTGGTACACGCAGCAGCACCACAGAGAAGGCTGAGGCTGGTACTGGAAAAGCACCCACTGGATGCCAGGAATGTGGTGGGCATGGAACAAAAGCCAGTGGCGTGGGCATGGAGAGAGCATTTCCTCAGGGTGAGGGTCATAGGAGGGTGGGGAGGGGGTGGTGGGTGGGGTCAGATGCAAGGCCAGGAGGATGGCAACCACCAACCACTGCCCGTGCCCACCCCTTCCTGATATCCAGTCCCTCACTCAGGCACTGATTGTCTGGAATAAGGGATTCCCCACCCCTAAGTGCCTCTGGTTACAAGCTGCTCAGAGAGTGCACTCACCATGCAGCCATGTTAATCCCAGTGTCTGGGGTGCTGCGGGCCCTTATTTGTTCTTAAGGGCGCACTCAAGCGTCTGTATTGACAGTGGGACAGGAAGATTGATTATGGGCCTTTCTGCTGCTTAGAACTTGATTGTGATGGAGCTGGAGGGAGGAAGGGACCTGGCCCAACATGACCCCACCTGATTATATACCCCTCCTTCCTTTCTCAACACCAACAACAGCAGAAGATTCTGCCCCTCCACCACTAGCAGTCTGATAGAGAGGTTGCTGTGCACACAACAGCTCTCTCTCCTTTCCTGCTGACAAGGACACTGTGAATTACTGTGTCTTTGTGTGTACAGAAGGGTACAAATTGCCTATAATAGCAGAAGCATTCAGGTGAACAGGGCTGCAGCCAGCTTTCTAGTTGCACTTGAGTGGTCGAGCCATTGGTTTGAGACCAAATGCAACACATGAAAAGTTAGTGCACAAGATCAGAGCTCATGGTGTCAGGGGCAATATGTTAGGGCGCGTAGAAGGTTGGCTCACAAACAGCAAACAGGGTTAGGATAAATGGATCATTTTCAGGTTGGCAAACTGTAACCGTTGGAGTACCACTTGGATCAATGCTGGGGCTTCAGCTATTTATAATCTACACTAGTGAGTTGGGTAAAGTGATTGATAGTATCACAGCTGATGGTAGAGAGATAGAGCCGAGAGTAAGTTATGAGAGAGTTGCAAAGAATCTGTAAAGGGACATCAATAGATTAGGAGAGTGGACAAAAAAATGTGGCAGATGGAATGCAATGGTGGAAGGTGCACACTTTGCAAAGCAGAATATTATTTAAGTGGAAGGTGACTGTAGGGTGCCATGGTACGGAGAGATGTGGGTGTTCTTTTACACCAATCACTATAATCCAACCTGCTGGTCCTGCAAGTAATTCAGGCAAATGGGATATTGGCCTTTAGTGCAAGGGAGATGGAGCATAAAAATGGTGCTACAAATGTACAGGACATCAATGAGACTGCATCTGGATTACAGAGGGCAGTTTTGGTCTCCTTATTTAGGAGGGATATACTTGCATTAGAGGCAGGTCAAAGAAAGTTCAACAGGCTGGTTCCTGGCCTGAGGAAAAGTTTTGATGAGGAAAAATTGCGCAGGTTTTTTTTTATCTCTACCCATGGGAGATGAGAAGAATGAGAGGCGATTGTATTCAATTGTACAAGATGATGATGGGGCTTGGCATGGTTGATGCTGAGAGGATGGGGATGATCTAGAACTGAGAGACTGTTTGATAACAGTCTCCAATTTAAGACCGAGAAGGGGTTAAAAGTTATCTGTGAGGCTCAGTAGTGTTTGGAATTCTTTTCCCCAGGGAGGAATGGGGGTTGAGCCATTGATTTTGTTCAACTGTGAGTCGGACAGATTTTTGATCAACAGTCCGAGTTCTTGGGGAGCTGGCAGGAAAGTGGAAGTGAGACCCCAATCAGATCCCACGTAATCCTATTGAATGGCAGAGCAGTCCTGAGGGACCACATCTGCTGCTCCCGTTTCTATTGTTCTTAGAAGATACAGAGAAGGGACAATTCAGGTAAAGGGAAACTAAAGTAATAGTATCCGATATACCAGGATCAGGGGGTGGAACAAAAGCTAATTTATGGTGATATATTGATATTTGACAGGTAACAGCAATTTTCTGTTATTGAGAGGGTGAGTGACAAATCCAAACCTATTTCTGGAATCAAGGGATAGATTGGTATGATGGGATTTACTCTTTGAAACCATCATATAATCCCTATATTGAAGGAAATGTATAATCATCCCAAAGTTTATTATCACATGTATGCATCTCCCCATCCCAGTTAGAGGCGGAGCTTGTCTTCCTGCGCAGTAAACAGAATGAGGCCATCACTGAGAATGAGATGCTCAAAGTGACCAACCAGGAGCTGGAGACGAGGCTGGAGCAGGTCCAACAAGATCTTCAGGAAGCCCAGGATCGGCTGGTATATCAACAGGAGGAAGCAGCTCACCGAGAGGAGAGAGAAGGGTAAGAGAGCCAGTACATACCCCTATATCGAGCACATGTCCCTCAGTGTGTACACAGGGACAGTGTGAACATGCAGTATAGCCTCACTACTCTGTTACAGTGAGCTGCTGCCGTTACTAATCCCAACTAATTCCCGCTAAACAGCAGGCATGTGGGACCTGGTCTGGCATGTGTGATTGACGTACCAGTGAGTGAGAATACCTAACAATAACAATCCTACATTTATTCCAGAGAGCGGGATCAACCTCCCAGCAATGATGGACTGCACTTCACTGAAGTTGATCCACAGGTAACGAGAGATGGACAGTGTGTGGCTAATTATGTAAATAGACTGCTTCAAAATCATTCAACATTGTTATGGACTTCCAGAAACATTCAATTAATTTTCCTGAAGGAGAATGCTACCTAAATGTGATGGTTATAAAATGGAGAGACATTATTGATGTGGTTAGAAAGTTATCATAAGTCATTCAGACGTAGTAAACAGTGCAATGAATTGGCGAAATATGATAAGGATTTTACTTGGATCTCCATTATTAACTGTGATCCCTCATGACTCGGATGATGGGATAGAAAACCACCTGTAAATGAAACAGAGAGAGGTTTCTGTGTGAACAATGTTGATGGAAGCAAAAGGTTGTAAGAAGGTTATTTGTAGATTAGTGAGTAGGCAAAACTGTGGTCAAGAAGTTTGGATCTAAAAAGGATTTTCCAGGGTGCTTTCTAAAATGGTGAGAAGCTACAGCCTGTGGAAGAACAAGTAGATTAGGGGGTCAAATATCAAGGAAATTTATAGAAGGCGATTCTAAAGCCTGGCTTTAACATTTACCCACTTGTAATACAGGTCTAATAGGTGTGATGCTACAATTATATAAAGCCCTGGATGTATCTTATCTGGAATACTGAGTTCAGTTCCAGGCATCACACTTTAGGAAGGATCCATTAGACTGGGAGGGCGGGTAAGAAACATTTACCTGATTGATATCTGAACTCCAAGGGTTAAAATTCAAGGAGAGAATACACAAACTAGGGTTATAGCGTATTCCCTGGAATTTAGAAAGTTAAATGGTGATTGGCTGGAGGTTTGCAATTTATGAGAGAGATCTAATAGGGTCTGTAAGGAGAAGCCAGTTGAAGTGGTCACTGAGTATGGGATTAACAGGCACATTCAGAATGTTAGCACCAGATCTTTTAGGAGTGAAATTAGGAAACACTTATAGAGACATTTGCCATTTTCTTTTCCAGTGACAATTGATTTGAGATCACTTGTAAATTTTAAATCTGTCGTTGATAGATTTTTGTTATCCAGAAATGTGAAGGGATTTGGGCCAAAGGTGGGCAAGCGGACTTAGGTCACAGATCAGTCATGATCTGATTGGATGACAGAGCAAGTGTGCAGACAGAATGGTATCCTCCTTCTCCCATGAACTAGAACCAGTGAGTGTGACAGAGACAACATTCTCAATTGGTCATTTGCATTGCTTAATGTTTACTTTCAATTTGGCTTCAGATACAATCAGCTGTAGATGATGTTTTATTCAAAACTCTTTTGCTTTCAACCTGAAAGTGTAATGTTAATATAAACACACAGAAGGTGTATACCATTTAAATTTGAAGTGTGATGTTAAATACCAGTCCTAGCGTTCTTCCAGTTTAAGCAGAAATGTAACCTTCTGTTTAGCTTAAGTAGATCCCAATAAGAGTCACCAGAATAGAATACATGTAGAACGTGTGACAAAGAAGGGTCTTAATAGCCGAATGATCCTTCGAGAAGGATTGTCTCGAGTGACTGAGAGTGTGTTACGGGGGTGGGGGGGATGAGGGGAGGTTCTTCACGGGACATCGTGGAGCTCTAGGAATGGGTTTTGGGGACAGTATTGGGCCTCTTTGGAAATAGGATGCTGGGTGGAGTTTCTTTGGGAGAGTTAAGGAACTAGCAAGATGGCTTTCAATAGAAAGGAAGGACATTGTTAAACTAGAAAGGGTGGGGAAAAAATTTATAAGGATGTTGCTGGGACTGGAGGGTTTGAGTTATAAGGAAAGGCTGGATAGGCTGGGACTTTTATCCCTGGAATGTCGGCGGGTGAGAGGTGACCTTATAGAGATTTATAAAATCATGAGGGTCACAGATAAGGTGAACAGCCAAGGTCTTTTTCCCCTCGGGTAGGGGAGTCCGAAACTAGAGGGCATAGGTTTAAGGTGAGAAGGGAAAGATTTAAAAGGGACCTGAGGGGCAGACTTTTCATACAGAGGGTGGTGAGTGTATGGAAGGAGCTGCCAGAGGCGGGTACATTACAACATTAAAAAGACATTTGGGCAGGTACATGGATAGGAAATGTTGAGAGGGATATGGGGCTAAATGAAGGCAAATGGGACTAGTTCAGTTTAAGAAATCCAGTCAGCATGGACGAGTTGGACTGAAGGGTCTGTTTCCATGCTCTACGACTCCACAAAATAAAGTTTGAAAATAATTAATGTTCTGAGAGAATGGACCCCCGACACAATTTGGGAATTGTAAGCCTTGGTTTTACTTGGGGTGTTAGGGAACTAAAGAGATGGGATTTGGTGAAAATATGGGACTTCAGTGAGACAGGCCCCCACAAAAATAATTGGGGAGCTGGAAGTGTGCTATTCTTTACGTCTTTATTTCTGTTAGATTTAAATATTAGTCTAACAAATGAAACCAGGCTATTTCCATCTTGTTGAATGCACATGTGGTCTCCTGGATGCTTGCTGTGTGTTTCCAGCTCTGGGTTTTGAGCTGGAGCTGGAGCAACCCTGGTGCTGAGTCATGAATTTAAAGGATCAGCCTTCTACAGCTCTGACAATGTATACCTTTTCTATTAACTTCTAATTTAAAATGTATTGTTTGTGGAGAACTAGAATTTGATCTTCTCGAGCATGGGTAAGGTGAGACCCATAAGGACTAGATCAACTACAGAAGCATTGTGTCTTCAGTGAGTGAATGGTAATTGGCTTATTTCTTATAATCACTAGTTTTCCATTTCAGAAAGAGACCAGGCAGAGGTGGGGATCTGACACCAGTCAGGGGTTTACAAGGTCCGAGTGGTAAGTGACTGATCCCTGTCTTCTGAAACCCTTCAGCCCCACCACCACCACCGCCCTATCCCATTCACAACCAAATGTAGCCATTGCAATACTTAGAGGCCAACTGTTGTTAGGTTCTGTTTCAAATTTGTCGGGGAGCAAAAACAGGTCATTCAGCCCCTTGAACCTCTTTGCTATTCAATTCGATCATTCTAATCTTCACTTGTTGACATTTATCTGCCACTGATCTAATTCTGAAATACCCAAATAAAAATCTACCAATTGCAGTCGTGCAAACTCCAATTCTTCCCAAACATCTGCAGCCTGTTGCAGGGTGTGAGATTTCTGGATTTTCACTGCTGTTTTGTGTGAGAAAGTGTTTCCTGGTTTCACTGGTTCTCGTTTTTTATTCTTTCATGTAATGTGGGCATCGCCGGCTGGGCCAGCGTTTATTGTCCATCCCAAGTTGCCCCTCGAGAAGGTGGTGGTGAGCTACCTTCTTGAACCACTACTGTCCACCTGCTGTGGGTTGACCACAATGTCCTTAGGGAGGGTATTCTAGGATTTTGACCCAGCGACAGTGAAAGAACAGTGATATATTTCCAAGTCAGGATTGTCAGTGACTTGTAGGGGGTGGTGTTCCCATGTATCTGCTGCCCTTGTCCTTCTAGATGCAAACAGGTTTGAAGGTTCTGTCTGCAGATCTTTGGTGAGTTTCTGTAGTGAATGTTCCAGATAACACACACTGCTGTTACTGAGCGTTGGTAATGGAGGGAGTGGATGTGGTGCCAGACAAGTGGACTGCTTTGTGCTGGATGGTGTCAATCTTCTGGAGTGTTGTCGGGGCTGCACCCATCCAGGCCAGTGGGGAGTATTCCATCACACTCCTGACTTGTACCTCGTAGGTGGACGAGCTTTGGGGAGTCAGGAGGAGAGTCACTCGTTGCAGGTTTCCTAACCATTGACTCTTGTAGCCATTGTGTTAAGTTTGTGTTTCATCGCGCACCTCACAAAACTTTGCCTCATTCACCCGATCAATATCTTTCTACACCCAGTCAGATCATTCTTAAATCTTCAAACACTCAAGAACATAAAAACTAAGTTTATGGAACTGGTTTTCTCAAAGAGAGAAAAAAAATCCTGGTGGCTGCCCTTAGACTAATGCAGTGTCCTGTTATTTTTCACCTTGTAACCATTCACCAGTCTTCAGAGGAACTTGGAAAGTTCAGGCCATGTGACCCGCATCATTTCAATTGAAGAAGAACCCCTGCCACATCAGGTCCAGGTCTTTGGGGTACAAAAGTCAAGGCTCACCAGACAGGAAGTCGACATGAGCACTGTCAAAGATGGAGAAGCAGTCTTTGAAGATAGAACAGAGCCTTTATGGAGTGAAGGAGAGGCACATCCTGCAGAAGAGGTAACCAGCTGCTTCCTCTTTTTAAACCTGCCCAAGGCCCTCAACTGTCCATTCATTAGACAGAGGCATCAGCAACCAGCTGCCTGCCTTACTTTGGCCTCTTGAGCATTTCCAAAAATATCCGCTCCTCCACTGTTAGCTTTGCCTTCAGCTGTCGTGGAACTAAGTTCTGGAAAGCCCTTCCTATAAATCCTGACTCATGAGCTTTCGTTCCGCCTTTAGGACACTGTTTAAAATCAAGCCTCTTTAATCACTTATCCAAACATTTCCATTGTAGCTTGGTGTTAATTTTTAGGTCTCATAGTTTAGAGGAGGTCTCTCTGGAGTAGATTGGGGCCTATCAAAAGCCTCTTCGCACTCCTCCCAGCTCTGGCCGCTTGGATATGGTGACCCCAGAAAGCAATACCAATCATTCTAAGGAAGGAATTTCCCATCACAATGCTGGCTGTAAAGCTATGACGAACCATGGGTTTCAATTTCTCTCAATGCTGCGAGGAGTATCTCTGTTTGGAGCTGCTCTCCTGGTCTCCTACCTGACACCGTAGTGTCTCAACTGGACAGTGTTATAGAATGTAGCTCCCCCTGCTCCATTGGGCCTTCCAGGTCCCCATTCGGCCCCCACGTCCGTGATTGGCCAGGGATCCTGGAGGATTAATTGGCTGAATCCAGGAATATTGGGAGTGCCCTGACACTACTGGAAATTCTGGAAAACTGGAACACTGGAAAATCTTGAATAGAGACTACACTAGCACTGTGATCCAATCACCATCCAATTCAGTTCACACAGAGAGAGAGAGAGAGAAAGACTAAAGGAGGTAAAGTGAGACAGAGAGACTGAGACAGTTTGAAATGGAAAGAGACAGAGACAGATCAGGAAACAGAGTGAATGATAGAGCGAGAGAGCCCGTAGAATGAGGGAAACAGTAAGATAGCTGACAATCCAATTTTCTATTGAGATTGCTTCATAAATACTGATTGAATGCAGTGCCTTTGTGTGTTCCTGCTCCCAGTTACAGGTGGAGCTTGTCTCTCTGCACAGTAAACAGGACGAAGCCATCACTGAAATTGAGATGCTCAAAGTGACCAATCAGGAACTAGAGACAAAGCTGGAGGAGATCCAACAGGATCTTCAGGAAGCCCGGGATCGGTTGGTGGATCAACAGGAGGAAGCAGCTCACCGAGAGAAAAGAGAAGGGTAAGAGAGCCTGTACATACACCTTTTGCACACCCTGTGTGAAGAAAGTAGGCAGTGTGTATATGTACCACAGTCTGAGTGCACACCTTGCACAGAATAGAGAATTATAAGTTAATTAGTGAAGTCAAATAAAGAACAGGGTAAAACAGTCTAATCCAGGGTTACCTTGCATGTTTGTGACTGCATGGAGTGTGGTATTTCGGATTGGTGAGTTACAAAACACCATTTGCCATTGTGGAAATTTGATGTTATCGTGATAAGAGGTCTGCCCAAGGGAGAAGAAGATTGGGTTTTTAATATTCCTGGGTACAAGGTGTTCTGGAAGGATAGGAAAGGATGTAAAGGAGGACAAGTGTCAGTATTGGTTAAGGAGAGCCCTGCAGTGCTGGAAAAAGATGATGCTTTGGATGGTTCAAGATAAGAATGGATTTGGATTGAGCTAAGGAACAAAAAGAGTACAATTACATTGTTCAGTGTTGTCTATAGATCACCAAATAGCAGGAAGGCACAAATCTACATGGAAATACAGAAAGGTTTTAGAATTATAGAGGAATTATAATGGAGAGCTTTAATTATCCAAATATAAACCAAGTAATGTAAGGGGCAAAGAGGGGCAAGAGTTTCTGGAATTTGTTCAGGAAAATTTCCTTTAGCAGTGGGTGTCCAATCAAACAGGAAAGGAGGCACTGCTAGACCTGCTTTAACTGGGAATGATGTGAGCCAAGTAGATCGAGTGTCATTGGAATATTGCTGAGTGGAGAATTATCATTGTATCGCAAAGTCTAGGAGGATGGTGGAAAAGAACAATGAACAATACAGAGTAAGAATAATCAACTGGGAAAGAGCTGACTTCCATGGAACAAGAACAACTGAGCAGATAGATTGGAACTAAAAGTTGGTGGGAAAATCTGTAGGTGAATATTTTTCCCTGGACCTTCGGAGGCTGAGGGTGAGCTTATAGAAATTTATAAAATCATGAGGGGCTTGGATTGGGTGAATAGGCAAAGCCTTTTTCCCAGGGTAGGGGTGTCCAAAACTAGAGGGCATAGGTTTAAGGTGAGAGGGGAAAGATTTAAAAGGGACCTGAGGGGCAACTTTTCCATGCAGAGGGTGGTGCATGTATGGAATGAGCTGCCAGAGGAAGTGGTGGAGGCTGGTACAATTACAACATTTAAAAAGGCATCTGGATGGGTATATGAATAGGAAGGGTTTAGAGGGATATGGGCCAAATGCTGGCAAGTGGGACTACATTAATTTAGGATATTTGGTCGGTGTGGACAAGTTGGACCGAAGGATCTGTTTCCGTGCTGTACATGTCTATGATTCTATGAGATGGTTCAGGTACAGTGGAGGTGGTAAGGAATGCAAATCCATAGCTCCCTGGATGTAACAGGAGATTGAAAGTAAAATATAATAAAGGAAATGTGCGTTTATTGAGTAGGTGTCAGGTAGAAAATACAACTGAGATCCAGGCTGAATACAGAAGGCTTAGAAGGAAGGTTAAAAAAAGTAAATGAGAGAAGAGGGATTATGAAAAGAGACTGACAACTAACATAATGTGGAGAAGTGTGAGGTGATACATTTTCATAGGGAAGAACATGGAGACAGAGTGTAAAATAAAAGGTGGTACTTTTGAAAGGGTGAATGGGAACAGAGAGACCTGGGTGTATCTATGCATAAAGCATTAAAGGCACTAAAACAGAAATTGCTGGAGAAATTCTGCATGCCTGGCAGCATCTGTGGAGAGAAAAACAGAGTTAATGTTTTGGATCCAGTGACATTTTTTCAGAACTTGTTGTAGCTTGCAAAAGGTGGTATACATGCTAAAGGTATGGTCAGGGAGGGAAGTGGAGGGGTAAAGGAGTGAGAGGATGGAGCCTAGAGTGTGAGAACAATATTTGGACAGATAAAGGAATGGATAGTGGAATGCTGTGAGGAGGAAAAGCTGATAATAGGGACAATGAGTGGGTAACAAGGAGTTGGCTGGACTGAAAGCAGCCCATGCCATGACAAAACCTGGAATGTGGGGGTAGGTAATACACAGAAGGATGGCTTCATATCCTAAAATAATTGAACTCGATATTGGGTGCTGAAGCAGGAAATGAGGTGCTGTTCTTTCAGCTTCCACTGAGTTTTGCTGGAGGACTGCAGCAAATCTGGGAGAGAGATATTGGCCAGGGAACAGGGTGGTGTGTCGAAGTGGCAGGCAACTGAAAGCTCAGGGTTATTTTTACAGACAGAACATAGGTGTTTGGCAAAGCAGTTACCCAGTCTGTGTTTTGTCTTCCCAAGTTAGAAGAGACCACATTGTGAGCAATGAATACAGAAGACTAGATTGAGTGAAGTGCAGGTAAAGTGCTCCTTCACCTGGAAGGTGTTTTTGGGCCCTTGGATTCTGAGGAGGGAAGAAGTAAACAGGCAGGTGTTACACCTTCTGCGACTGCAGGGGAAGGTGCCAAGGGGGTGTGTGGTCTGGGGAGGTGTTGGGAGTGGAGGAGGAGTGGACCAGGGTGTCCATCCCATTCTCCCAGTTTCTTTGTCTCCATTGAATCTGCTCTGACAATATTACCTTCTGCAGGGGAGCCTCAGAAATGTCCATCTTCTTCCTCAACTAAGGTTTCCCAGCACTGTGGTTGACAGGGCCCTCAGCCATTTCCAAACCATCACCTGCACTTCCACCCTCACCCCCTTTCTTCCCTCCCACAACTGCAGTAAGGTCCCCCTTGTCCTCACCTACCATCCCACCGGCACCCACATCCAATCCACTACCTCCAGCAGGACGCCACCACCAGACACACATTCCCATCCCCTCCCCTCCTTCTGTCGGTCTTTCACAGGGACCGTTCCCTCTGGGACACCCTAGTCCACACCTCCTCCAAACAATTCACATTTGTGTGGCATGAATGTTACTTGCCATTTGTCAGCCCAAGCCTGGATATTGTCCAGATCTTGTTGATTTGAACATGAGCAGCTTCAGTATCTGAGGAGTTGCAAATGGTGCTGAACATTGTGCAATCATCAGCGAACATCCCCACTTCTGACCTTATGATGGAGGGAAGGTCATTGATGAAGCAGCTGAAGATGGTTGGGCCTGGGACACTACCCTGAGGAACTCCTGCAGAGATGTCCTGAAGCTGATACGACTGACCTCGAACAACCACAACCATCTTCCTATGTGCCAGGTATGGCTCCAACCAGCGGAGAGTTTGCCCTCTGGTACCCATTGATTCCAGTTTTGCCAGGGCTCCTTGATGTCACACTCAGTCGAATGCAGCCTTGATGTCAAGGGCTGTCACTCTCACCTCCCCTCTGGAATTCAGCTCTTTAGTCCATGTTTGAACCAAGGCTGTAATGACGTCAGGAGCTGAGTGATCCTGGTGGAACCCAAACTGGGCGTCACTAAGCAGGTTATTGCTGAGCAGGTGCTGTTTGATAGCGCTGTTACTGACACCTTCCATCACTTTACTGATGATCGAGAGGAGACTGATGGGGCGGTAATTGGCCGGGTTGGATTTGTCTTGCTTTCTATATACAGGACATACCTGGGCAATTTCCCACATTGTCGGGTAGGTGTCAATGTTGTAACTGTACTGGAACAGCTTGGCTAAAGGACCGGCAAGTTTTGGAGCACAAGTCTTCAGTACTATTGCTGGAATGTTGTCAGGGCCCATAGCCTTTGCAATATCGAGTGTCTCTGATGGTTTCTTGATATCACATGGAGTGAATCAAATTGGCTTCTGTGTTGCTGGAGACCACTGGAGGAGGCTGAGGTGAATCATCCACTTGGCACTTCTGGCTAAAGATTGCCGCAACAGCTTCAATCTTATCTTTTGCACCAGCTTAGAGACAAAAAACCTTCAAATGCTGGAATCCGAGGTAGACAAACAGGAGGCTGGAAGAACACAGCAGACCAGGCAGCATCCGGAATGAAAGAGCAGTCAAAGTTTCGAGTACTACCTTTCCTGAAGAAGTGTATTACCAGAAACGTTGACTGCTCCTTTCCTCCAGATGCTGCCCGGCCTGCTGTGTTCTTCCAGCCTCCTGTTTGTCTACCCTATCTTTTGCACTGATGTGCAGGGCTCTACCATCATTGAGGATGGGGATATTTGTGGAGTCTCCTCTTCCAGTGAGTTGTAAATTGCCCACCACCATTCCCAACTGGAAATGGCTGGACAGAGGTGTTAAAATCTGATCTGTTGATTGTGGGATCGCTTAGTTCTATCAGTCACTTACTGTTTATGCTGTTTGGTATGCAATTAGTCTTGTTTGCTGGCTTCACCAGGTTGATACCTCATCTTCAGGTATGCCTGGTGCTGCTCCTGGCACACCCTCCTACACTCTCCACTGAACCAGGGTTGATCCCCTGGCTTGATGGTAATGGTTGAGTGGGGGATATGCCGGGCCATGAGGTTACAGATTGTGCTGGAGTACAATTCCGCTGCTGTTGATGGCCCACAGCGCCCCGTGGATGCCCAGATAACAAGGTGTAGAGCTGGATGAACACAGCAGGCCATGCCCAGACTTGAGTTGCCAGAACTATTCAAAATCTGTCCCATTTGGCACGGTGATAGCACCACATGACATGATGGAGGTTGTTCTCAATATGAAGGCGGGACTTTGTCTCCACAAGGACTGTGCGATGGTCACTCTCACTGATACTGTCTTGAACAGATGCATCTGCCGCTGGTAGCTTGGTGAGGAGAAGGTTAAGTATGTTTCCCCCTCATGTTGATTTGATTTATCATTGTCACATGTACCCAGGTACAGTGAAAAGTTTTGTTTAGCGTGCAGTACAGGCAGATCGTGGGTGATTGAATACAGCGAGGAATACAAAGTTACAGCTGCAAAGACGGTGTATTAAAAGTGAGATCAACATCAGATTGCAAATTGAACAATTGAAAATGAAAACTATTGCACACACAGAAATTAATGTGATCTCTGCACAGGTTGAGATATAAGATTTACAAAGTGTACACATGCCTTTCATTCTGTACATATGC